GCGACTTAGGATATATATTAGATTTATATATAGCACTATTCTAACATAGGTATTTTGGACACAAAATTCGGACCTTTTTCTGAAATAACATACCAATTTTTTTTTACATATTTCGATTCCACGACTCAAATTATGCCTAGATGTATGAAACTTTTGTAAAATTTCATAGCGAAATTTATCCAGAAATTAAAAATTTATCTTGGCGCAATTTTTGTCAGTTTGCGCCAAGAATAACTTCGCTTGGCGAACTTCTTAATATACGGCAACCTATTTTCCTTTCCCGTGAGAGGAAAAAAAGTCACCATCGTTCCGTTTTTCCAAATAATATTCTTTCTATTATATTTTTAATTATAACTTATTATTTTAAGTAATTTTTTCTTTTTCGAATTCATTTTAATTGTTTAAGTTGCACTTTTTTTTTTTTTTCGAATAACTCTTTAAAAATTTCTATTTACCTATTCGAACTGCGTAAATAAAGGTGCAGCGTTCATTTTTTTTTTTCAAATACTTTTCTTTTTATATATATTTTTCGTCATAGTTATTATTTTAGGTAATTTTTAATGTTTATTCTTTTATTTTAATTGTTTGTGTTGCATTGTCTCTTCAGATAATTGTTTTAAAATTTTCTATTTATTCCTTCGAACTGAGCATTTTTAAATATATTTATTAATATCAATTTTCCAGAATTTGATTTTTATTTATTTGAACTGCGTTTCTTTCGGAAGAATACTTTGTAACCCAGACTACGATGAGTTTGAAAACTGCATACTATATTAAAAGAGAAAATACAGTAAAGCACAGTTTTACACGCCTTTCAATGTTCCGTTCGGAAAAAGATATATATAAATAAGAGAGATGTATAACCGACATTTTAACTTAGGATGACTTGCATACACTGCTTTAAACAGTTTTTATCATTGTGCCCATTGCTTTTACACAATTTTATCCTACATTTGGTTTCTTAAAATGTTATTCATATTTTAGTCAAATATTTTATTTTTGAAATCGCAAGAATCAAATATCATAACATTGAAAAGTTTTCAATTAAAAAAAATATAAATACTAAATTTTACGAAAAAATGTATTTTTCTTCTCTATTTCTTTAAGCATTCTGAAAGTATATTAAAAAGTATCCAACTTTTCAAACATTTTGGTATTTCTGACAATCATTTTAAATAAAGTTATCGCCTTCCATTTCATAAAGGCCCACAAACGGCCGAGCGGTAAAGACGCTGATCACTGGTAGTTCGGTCCGAGGTTCGAATCCCGCGATCGGGCTGGTTGCATTAGTTTCCCGATGTGTAACGTGTATACGAGCCAGTTTCCCTTAGAAAGGTCCTCCAAGAAGGCATCCCTCCCTTTAGGCAGATAGCACTCGTGTACTTTGCCATAATTAAATAATCCAATCCAATCCTTAATTAAATATAATTGATTTGTAACTTCTAGAACTGACGTTAAGAATTGAAGTGCAAATAAATAATATCGTGTGCAATCTTGATTAATATAAAATTAAAAATATTTACACAGAAAAATATTTGCATTCAGACAGAAAGTTTTTTGAAATATTTGCAATTACTTTATAAGAAGGATTTATTAATAACCGTAATAATTACTTATTATATTACTAATGATTAGGAATCAGTTCTTGACAATTACATTCTAAATTAGAATTTTAAGAATTATTAGAATTTTAAATTAGAATAATGAAAATACGCTACGCACAAAAATACATTTTTGGATAAAAAAATGAGTTGATTTTTTATGTTTTAAAACTTCTTGAATTCATTTAATAAACATCGTATCCTCGTTGTTAATTGAATTCAGAATGTTGGGTGTCGTTTATATAATTATTCTTACTTGTCCACGGAATCTGCTGACTTATCCAGCGATTAAGTAGCTGCAGATCATTTCTACATAACCATTGAACTTCCATTAATTCAGTCTCTAGAGGGTTGTATATTTATATCATAATTTGACTTTTATAAAAATGATTATTCTAAATCTTATGTTTCTATAAAAATATACTGTGCTTTAAAAAAATATGGATGACAGTACCAGCCGCTCTTTCAGCCACTTCAAAAGCATCAGTTTGCTTAGAAATAAATTGTGCAGTTAATGTCATAAAATTCAAATAAACATAAAACGAAAATTCTCAGTTTTAGACAATTCGATTTAAACGAAGTAAAGTAGCAGACGATAAAAACGCCGAAGGTAAAAATTTACTCTTATTTAAAAAAAAAAAAAAAAAAAAAGATAGAGAGAGAAATTTAAAAAAATATTTAAAAATTTATTTAAAAAAATAGCTTTTCATATAGTATTAATAAATATTATTACGCATCATTGAGGGAAAAAAATGTCATATAATTAATTCTCCGTAAAATTTTACTTGAAATTTAAGGTTAAAAATAGCTGTGGCAATACAGTGTAACAAAAATCCATAGACCACATTTGGCGTTATTATCGCTCAAAAAAAAAAAAAAAAAAAAAAAAAAAATTGCCAAATTTCAAAACGCGAAAATATGTAAATTTGTGTATATCTTAGAAAATTCTGAATAAAAAAGTCTAATTTTTTGTAGATATGCTTAAAAATATACCTACTTTAAGATGAAGGTAAAATTTTTATTGGTTATAATTCAAAATATTTTTCGAAAAAATTTATAAAAATTATTTTAAAAATAGAAATTTAAAAAATAAAACACAAAAAATGGGTAAATTTTATTTGGAATGAACCTAAATTTCGAAATGTGAGAGGAAAAAAAAATCAAAAAAACGTTTTAATAAAAAAAAGAGATATAATAAATATTTGCCAAATTCAATTAACATTGAGGAGCTAAAATTTTGAGAGCTAATATTTCAAAACGTACTCGTACGATTTTTACAAAACTTGGTATTCTGGCATAATTTGAGTCGTAGAATCGAAATATGTAAAAAAATTGGTATGTTATTTCAGAAAAAGTCCGATTTTGTGTCAAAATACCTATGTTAGAATAGTGCTATATATAAATCTAATATACATCCTAAGTGTCGCGCTTTCGAGACATGAAGAACGCAATTTGAATTTCGTGAATCGCCCCAGTAGAACGGGAGATATAGCACTGTCCTTTTTTTTTTTTTTTTTTTTTTTTTTTTTTTTTTTTTTTTTTTGAGCAGTGTACATGTCGTATTCTGGAGTTGATACTTGACACTAGGAGAAAGGAAGTATAAAAGTAAGCCAGTATACACTAACATTTTGCGGCATAATTTATGATCTAGTGCCCAAAAGTTGGCATTGCTGGAGAGCGATCCTGAACATATTGTTTATATTATCTGAGAATATAAGCTATGTATTGTGTCTAAGGAAGATTAACTACATCTCCACAGTCTCCTGTTAAAATATTAATGAAAATTAATGTACCTTCGAACTTAAAAAGGTGAAAGTATCGCATTTGTTTTAGCATTCCTATATACAAAATTTCACCGTTCTCAGGCTAATCGTTTTTGAGTTACGCGAGATACATACGTACGCACAGGCGACGCAAAAAAAATCTCCACTGAATCCATTTTAAATCAGTTTTATAATTCCCCGCTTGGGGAAAAAGAGTCTTTTATTCCGTCATTACGTACAGATGTCACGCAAAAAACATCGTTAAACTGCATTCGATAGTGGTCATGGATATTTTCGTTGAAATATGATGCTCGGAATTTTTTCGTGATTACAATACTTCCTTTACTTCGTACAAGGAAGTAAAAACGAAGATGTACATAGAAGTTAACTATATCTCTATCCTTTTATATTCAGTAAATGTAACTAGTTGAAGTCATTACATTATGAATCTAATTGCAATATTTAATCATAGCTTAAGGTATTAAAAATGACACATATTCTAGTTTGCAGTTACAAGTACTAAAAAAAAATTTTTTTTTTTTTTTGATAAATAACAAATAACATTAAAATTGTATAAATAGTAACTGAGGTACTATAAAAAGCATTGCACTAATTTTCAAACGTTTTATATAATTTAATTTTTTCTTGCTTTCAACCAAGCAGACGCATTACATTATTTTTTTTTTTCAAACTTTACTTCAGAATTCAATTCATGTTTTATACAGAAAATGGTCATGTTTGGAAATTTTCTCAATCGTTTGAAGATCTTATAAAAGTTTATTATTTTAACCTTGCTAAAACTCCTTTCGCCACTAGCAATGTTAAATATATACTTAAACCTGCTTTAAATTTAGGATAGTCGTTAATTATTTTTAACAGATCTAATCTTGCAGCTGCTTTAGAACGCTCGCAATTATTGAACTAATATAATTTTTGAAATAAGATATTCTTGTTTAGTTTCTGCAACATTTATAGCATTCAGATATGTGCTAAGTTATAAGCTGCTGCCCTTTAATTACCTAAATTCAATGACCTTTGGATTTTAAATTTTCACTAATTAAAAACTATAAAACCGGAAGATAATTCGTTGAATTTTTCGTGTCTCGTTATCTATTATAAAATTAAAATATCTGGCACTTCTTTAATTTCTATTATTCAAACATATTTTTCTGAAGAATTAGTTTCCTTATCAATTGATTTTTGACTATATAAACTCTTAACCTTTCTTTTGCGTTTCTATTTACATTCTGTTGATATATTCATCTTTAAAGCTACATTATTACGCTTTTCAAGAATACTTGCAGAAATATTTGCTCTGACTTAATGTAAAGAAAGACCTAATCTCTTTATTAAACATTTAGTTATACATGCAATTAGAGTTTTGAAATGCTAGGCTTTAAAATTTTAAATTGATTTGCTTCAAATGTTGCTAATGGCACCCCTCTTCAATGATTTGTCGTTTGATGCCATACGTTTTAAATAACCGATGTGCACAGGATATTTGTAAATATAATTTTTTAATTGCGTTTGTTCTTCATGTCTAATGCGTATTTATGTGATTTTTTAATATTAGTTTAAATCGGGCATGATGGCATCCCTTCTATTCGTTAAAGTTATAAAAAAATTAGGCTCTCTGCACAGCTTTAAAAATATTAACATGCTTAAAGTTTTAAAAGCAGCATTTTTGCATATAAAATTTAAGCTATAAGCAAAACAAGGAATGTTATTTTGCTTGATAATTTCTTTGTCAAATAGCAGCTTGCACACCTGTGTACAATTTAGCCATATCATATCTTTGGTCTTGAATGCTATGCCACTATTTTATAACTTATAAGTAACTTCCTTTTCTAAACTACGACCACTCCATCTATTTTTCCTATAAAATAGATAAAACGTTTTCAATAATTCATGGATATGTTTATATGCACTAATTCAGAGGATTTCAAAGTGTTAAATTTCGCGATTATTAGGTTTTTGCGAACTAAATCTTATTCGCAGTAATAAACAAATTTGCCACTCCTTGTATAATCAATTTTAATGTTTTAATTTCAATGTGTTTATTTCAATTAAATCAACTGCGTTATCGCTTTCATTTTTAACTTTTCCTTCTACGTTTCAATCTTTCTGAAACTGTATTTCTTAAAATTCCTTTTATAAGAACAGAACTCATTTTCAATATATTTTCATATTGCTTATCTTAGCATCAATGGAACGAAACCAAACATTTTAAAAGATATTTTCCGATATCAGTATCAGTCATATTAATATTAGCCACGACGATTTGTCTCAACTGTCCCACAAAAAAATTAAAAAATTGTAGACTTCCTTTTTCACTTCTTTGATACTAAATTTATGTTATGTTTAATTATAAAAAAAAGGAACGACTTAAAATAAAAAAAATTAAAAATATATATCCAGCGGTCCTTTAGCAGACGCATCGCATTACATACAGGCTTGTCCACTCTTGGCACAGTAAAGGTAGGAGGTCTTCTCCACTTCACAGACGTCACTCGACCTGAGGCACATAGAAAAATTTCCTCTCGTAATAAAGGGAATTAAAATATCAATGAAAACAAATTGTAGAGGAAGAGCGTAAATTTGTAGATTACCTGTAAATCTTTCAGTTGTTCTTCAACTCATGTAAATGCTTGGCACAGCTGTTGCATCTCTTCAGCTTCCTATAAATAGTGTACTTTCATTCAATTATATTTTATTCTGTATTTAGATTTTCAAAAAAATGAAGTTACAGGGATCGGGAATGAGACCCAGAAAATAAAACTTTAATGGCGAATAGAGTATTTCCGACGAATCTTGCAGTCAGATGGAGCCGAGTGTCTATGTGTAGATTCAAACACCACTTCGAGATATCATGACCAGTCCGCTCAACCCTCTCCTCCCGCTTAATAAGGAGTAAGCTTCAGTTGCATTAAATTGCAGGAGTGGTGAGTAAAACTTGATTCATTACCATATACATGTTTACGTTACAGATTGAACAAAAAATGAGACAGACTAATACCGTTTCATTTAATTTGTCCAATAATCTGTGTAACTGTTCCACACACAACCGTACATAAAACTCACTGCACAGTTCTCGCGCAAATTAATTATGAATATAACAAGACAAAACCTTGAGCCATGCATCGCATTTACCGTAAAATTTTAAACAAAAAGTGAAGCAAAAGACTGATGGGTAATATGGTGCATTTCATTTTCAGACACCTTTACTTAGTGTCCCAATGCTATTCCAATTGGCCCTTATGCGTTGGGTCAGTTGCAACAAAATTCAAGCAGCTGCGGCACCGTCCATTCTCAGTAGACTTCAGAAAGCGGGTTATGGCGAAGTAAGACTTAATGCAAACTAAAGGGAGATAGTAGAGAGTATGAATGTAGGCAACATAGTGCTTTCTATGCAGCTCATTGCAACAAGTGTAAATTAATATATTAGTTCGAACAACAGATTTCAGTATTAGAAAAGAGTATAGACAAAATTATGAAACGCCGGCATTTTGAGCAAAATTAATATTACAAATTTATATTTGATGCATTCCAAAGTTGACAGCTAAAAACCATATGTTCTTTTTTTCAAAAGAATTTCTAAAATTTCATAACTAATCCAGCTTACCTGAAACAAATACCTCAAACACCTCCCCCTTGTTTTGGCTCTAACTTTTTCTCAAATATTTCGAAAACTCATTACGTGTTTTTTCCCAATATATTTTATAAAACCTCGTTTTGAATTGAATTATTTAATGCATGCAAAGCACACATAGCGTTTCTTCCCAGGTTTTAGCTCTTATTTTAACCAAAAGATTTCCAAGAGATGGAAGCTGAAGGTTTCGAACCTCTTTCTCTCTACCAGCAACCTTTTGAAACGACTTTCAGTAGATATTATTTGAGTGTTTTGGCCAGAATCAAGACTTGAATTCGGGCTTCACCGGGTGGGCAATCAACCTCTGCTAAATACCACCGTACAGACAGACCACAATCGAATACTGAATTGTATGTAAACAAGGGGCTGAAGATTGCAACTTATGGGTCAGAAGACTTCATTTCAACAAAATTTCCATATTTCATAAACAGCCTTTCAAACCTTATTTAAAAACAAGAAATCTTAGGTTCTTTACTATAAGCATCTATTAGAAGCCACTTTTTAGAAAGAAAACAGGACAAAAGAATCAATTCTTAATAAAATCCGCACCACGTGAAAAAAGAAAAATGGAGTCTATAATGTAGTTCAGATATTTTTATTCCACTGCTGTGCATCTGCATTCATTTTAAGTAACCTTTTTCTGTATAAACAATGTAGCACTCTTTTTTCTTAATAAACACAATACAGCTAGACTTCGTTTCACGACGGCATTGTAAGAACAATTAACTTCAGTTTACATTATTATAATGGGTATAAAACGAACAAACGATCCGATTATATATAATGCAGATAGAATACGTTCGACTCCATTAATATTATGCTAAATGTAGTTATTAATTTTAATTTCACTAATAAACATTAAAAATATTAGTTTGAAAACCCTATTAAAAGCATAAATTATAAATGATTCTTCTCAACTATCGTGACAAGCAATCTACTCGTATTTTTATAATTCGGATGATAAAGTATGTATATGTTGATTCGTAACAGCTTCTTCCCCCCCACACACACACCAGAAGATTTTCCTTCCGTGGTGAAAATGTAACTTTTTTAAATAAGTAAAAAAAAAATTAAACTTTTTTAAAAGCTAAAATGGATATTTTCTACAGATTGCAATAGACGCATGTCGCAAGCTGAATACACGCGACATAGCTTCTACTATTAATGCTTTTTCGTCTGGCTTCTGAGATACTTCCTTGATAAATATAGCGCAGGCAATCGGTCGAGGACAACAAGTCTGCGGGTGCTTATGCAATCATAGTTCATAAAAACATTTATCAAATAGAAAGAGAATCTTGATTACTTTGCAAGACGCAAAATCAAACAATGCAATCTTAAAAGCGAATTTTTTAACAGAGACACTTGTACTTATAACATTAAGTTCATAATAAAAGGAAAAAGGCCAATTTCCGACAATTTTTACCAATACATGGGTGAGGGAATTTACCAATACATATTTTCGGCCCAAAAATTCGATCATGCGTTTTCAGGGAATATGAGCAAATTAGAGTCACCATAACACGACTTTACTATTTTTACAATGATGTCGGCGTGTGTGTACAACGTTCGCACAAATTTCTGCACACGGAAATTAAGTACTTTTAAGGACGTTTAAGGACAATTAATGAAACAAATTAAGGACCTATTAAGCAAATGGGAACTGAATAAATTCAATTGAAAATATTATCTATGCTTGAACTTCACTTTTGTAATACCATCCTAAAAATAAAATAGATCCGTAATTAGGATGCATTATTATTAAACATAACTTAATTAACATAATTATTAGTAAGTTTGAGAATAAAATAAACTTTATGAAATTTATCAGGTAACATTATCAAGTAGCTTAGTTGAGCATATTTGAAAGAAGATAAGTGACATTTTATTCACATTTTACTAACAGTTACTTTTATGTTGATTTTTTTATGTCTCATTTTGTCATATTTTTGCTCAATAGGTTTAGTAAACAGCAGATAGATTTTATATCAAGCGGCATAAAGGCCTGATGTAGGCACGGTTGGCAAGCTTTGAAAGTTAGTTGGGCTCTTTTCTGACACAGTTAGTGTCGTAGCTTCGTGTAGAGTTCCAGGGATTATAATCCAGTTAATTTTAAGGTTCTACTAAGACACTAAAGCACCAGAGGTGATAAGTTGTTTTGTATTAAGTCTCACTAGATGCGAAGAATAAGTTTTAGATGATTTTTTTACATTTTTGTGTTTTATCTTGTGACCACGGTAAGGATTAAGGAAAGGCAATAACTAGCTTTAACATGCAGAGATAATTTTTTGAGAGTAAGCAGTTATTTATAAATAATTAAATTAGGTAGTTACATAACCTTAGTCATTATGGATGCACATGGCCACTATTAAATTTTATTTATTTTTAACAATATATTTGCAAAAAAAAATAAGTATTTAAAGTCACAATCTAATAAAATTTCACAGTTTAAAATGCATGTAATTTATGATATTGATTCTTAAAATATATTAGGATAATTACACATTAAAAGCTACAAAACATTTATGTTTTGTAGCTACAACACTCAACAAAATATTTATGCGTCTTTTTAATTTGAAGACTTCCCAAACATTTTGGCTATTTTTATACCAATTTCCTTCTCTTTAAGCATCTATCTAACAATTAGAAATTTGTCTCAATACGCAAACCGCTGTTCTCACTTGTTTCTGTGTGCTTTATCTCCTAACTTGTCAACCTCTCCACAATGTACCTATGAGGGTTTACTTGATCTGGTAAAAGTTAAAAAGTCCCAAACCCACTGACAGACGCGAAGTAAATTATGTCTGAAAGTAACTACAAAGTCAGACAAAGGTTTAAATAAGCCTCTTATTTAAAAAGAACTTAAAACATCAGGGCATGTTTTTAAGCTAACAAAATCAATTGCAGCTCGTGGTGATGTAATTAAACAAGAAAAGTCAAATTTAAGCTAAAAATGTGAGCTAGTGATCAAAGACTAGACAATTTAATTTTAATTTAAGCTGGCTCAGTAACTCTAGCGTCATAACAAATTCAAATGTCGCAGCGATAACGCAAAGACAAATAATTACAAATTATCGGAGCTGGCAGGTACTAATGCACCGAGCAAGCGGAAGTCAGAAACACACTCTGTCTTCAGGACTTAAAAGAGAAGGGCTAGCTCATAGAGCTTTCCCCCCTACCTGAAACAGGCATGGAGGTAGGAAAGGCTTACTTCCTACCTCCATGGAAGCAGGCAGTGGGGAGTGATGACGTAGCCATGATGACACTGAGCGCGGAGATGCAACTGACAACATAGAAATTAGCGTTTTAAATCTGAAGAACCAGCGTTTAAAATGAGCTGCGTGTGAAAGATAGCTTTAATTTAGAAAAGACAATGTTGCTGCAGTATGCATTTTACACTGAACATTAAAAAATTTAATAGTACTTACTCAATTTTAAACTAACAGATAAAATGCGCTACTGTTAGCATAAAGTTCCCTTTTTTTTTTTTATTTGCAGGGATTTTTTTTCTTTAAACGCCTGTTTATTTCTAATCATTTCTTTATCTGCATATTAACTAAGAGAACTGTACTACTGCTTCTAAGATAATTATAATAACAGCTATTTAAAATTAATCAAAAAGCAACCTTAAATTGGCACAGTTTTCAAAATTTCTGCTAATCTAAGTTTGAGTTTCAGCCTAATTGTAAATTTTACATTGGCATATTTTTCTCCCGATTCAATATAATAACATATATTTTTTAACTAATTTTGTAACTCAGGCTTACATCAATATTTCATTTAAATAAATACATGTAAGATTGTTATCTTAATTTAAACAAAACAACTTTACTCGCAGTACCTCAAATAATTATTTAATTTTTCAAAAGTGGGGGTTAAGGGGGCAGGTCTTCTTATGCCAATTACTTTAATATTATACTTTGTATATATTTTATCTAGAATGCTAAGCTAGCGCAAAATCGAATCAATAATAACAGAGGGTACAATAAAAATAATTGTAACAATAACTTAACAGAATTGTTCTCATTTGAA